GCCCGTTCCAGCTCCGCAGGGACCCCGTCTAGCGAGAAGGCGCAGCTGTGTGTTTTCCTCAGCCCCTTCCGTGGGCTCTGGGCGCAGGCGCACAGCAGACACGCAGTAAGCCATTCCGGATACATGAGTGTTCTGAATCACACAGACGTGACATCCCTCTTTTCATCTTGGCCAAAATCATCCCTGGATGTCCTGTGTCCTTTCCTCCCTTTCTCAGTCACCGCAGTCGCCTGCAGAGTGCCTTGGACACGCCAGGGTGAAGAGTGTCAGATTGCCCTATTGCTGAAGGCCAACCACGCCGAGGAGCCACCCTCTGCTAGCCCGGGTACCTTCCCCCTTCTCGTGGCACAGAGTGGACACGGGAAGGCACTAGGAGATGCCATGGTCCCCCCTTATGCCCCTGACGCAGAGGCTGAGCCACCCCTCAGCTCTCTCCCTCCGGGAACGGGTCTGGGCTGCTCCACGTGGATTGGCAGCTTCTGACCCCGTGACTGTCCCGACCTCTGCTCCTCGCTGCCGTTGCCATGGTGCCTCCCCAGCCCCCACTTTCCCCCCAGCCGTGCCTCAGCTCTTCCCACTCCACACCTTTGTCCCCATTAATTTCTCACGCCCTTTGCCAAGTACGATCCTCTGGTCGTTGCTGTTTCCTGCATGCTGAATAATCTGGCTTCACTTTTCAAAACCCATGGGAGTCCCTTTACAGTGCAGAAGCATGGGGGACCCCGAACCAGGGGGGGCAGACATTTGTTTATTCCGTCCCTGCTGTCCATCAGGTGGGACGTGGGCACCCGGCACCTGGGGGGGAGGCACGTGCCGTCCTGGCCCTCCACGGGTGTGCAGGTGTGGGCACAGGGACAGAGTGAACCGAGAGATGGAGCAGACGGTGACAGACAGGGAGACATCATTCAAGCAAGTATGGACGAGGTGTTCTTTGTCAACTGACAGGAATGGGGCTGACTCAGAGAAGTTTTCCCAGAGATGGAGAAACCTAAGCTGAGCCTTAGACTGTGGCTCCTTCCTGCCAAATGGAAGGAGCTCGGCTGCAGCCGCACGGGGGCACCACGCGGCTCGGCCGGCCACAGGAGGGCGTCAACCAAGACGGTGGCCAGGGGTGACAGGGGACCGAGTGGACAGCCCTATATCCTATGGGCTCTGCGGCCACCTGTCAAGAGGCCTGGCTGTCACCACTAGGGTGATGAGAAAAGGTTCAAAGGTTATAAATAAAGGGTCCTGACCAGATTTTTGTTTTAGAGATTTTTGTCTAATAAAAGTGCAGAAAAGATGAAAATCAGGGTAAGAGAGATGAATTGAGGTGTTTTCCAGATTAGTTTACAAGTATTTCTCAAAAACCGTACATAAAAATAACATGTAAAAAGAGAACAGAAGATAATGTTATAAATATAACAGATAGTCTTGCATATATAAAGAGACCTGAAAATCCAAGAAAACACTAACAATGCCAAAGAAAAATGAACTAAATATTTCAAATCCACAGAAGGAAAAGCTCAGTGAGAAAGAAAAATGTTTAAGCATTACTATTTTAAAAATACAAATTGGAAAAAGATAGAGTGAGTAGAGACTTCAAAACTGTAATAAAAATAATGAGATCGTTCTGGAAGCAATTTTACAGTAGAGATCAAGAGTCTCCAGAAATATGACATTGTCAATCGAGCAGTCCACTCCTTTAAATTCATCCTAAGGAACTAATTAGAGATGAAAAGATTTATAAACCAAAACGTTCAACATAGGGTAATCTGTACCATAAAAAGGGGAAACGATCTAAATAGTCAATAATAGTAGGTTAGCTCAATAATTGAGAGTTTAGACCTACAACACACTTTAAAAGGAAAAGGAAAAAAGTGTTTCCTTTTTATTACATGATATTAAGTATGCAAGAGTGATAAAAGTTGCTTTCGCAGTATAGTACCAACAAGGTGATTTGTCTATGTGTCTGTGCTTGCATAGATGAATTAATACTAGTAAGTAGTCAGTTAAAGATGGACAAAGGATTCATAGAATAAAATTAAACATTAGAAGTTGTTAATAATGGCTATCTTTATTAGAAGTCTCTGTATTTAAAAACAACCCATGGTACTTTAAGCTCCTAAACTAGAAGTCAGGAGAAAAACCAGAAAGGGTTAATATCATCGAAGCCACACCAGAGATTTCAATAAAACAGAAGATTCACTTTAAACCTTCGTAGAGAGGATGGCAGAATTACAGGATCCATTGTCCCAGTGGCACGAAGGGAAAACAGAACAGGTTTTAATTGGTGTAGACGCATTTCTGATGGGAGACTGAGGCACAGCCCACCTTTCGGGTTGAATGACGGCGTGAACTTGGCTGCCTAGCAACCCTAAATAACAGGTGGGCCCTGTTCTGACTCAGCCGAGAGCAATGTCAGACTTTCCTCCGGCACCAAGATGCCAGCGTGTGTCACAGAAACATAAATTTCAGTGACTCCCCGAGGTGCCGCTCTCACACTCAGGGAAAAGGCATCCACAGTGCGTGACGCAAACCCCTCCCTGACGTCTCTGGATTTCACAGCCAGTGCCGCCGCTCATCCCACTCGCTCTGCTCCAGCAGAGCCACTGTCGCCTAAGGATGGTGCTCGGGAAGGGGACCCACTGAACACGGCAGGACGGGCTCCGCTGCCGGGTCCGAAAAAGGCTGTTCTTCCTGCCTTGTAACTCACTCGTGTGAGTCAATAGAAAGTCTAGACTGAGCCGTTCAGGTCTGATTTCAGTAATTACTCAGATTCTGGGAACACTTGTGTCCCTACGCGTTTTCAGCTGCTAACTTGGCTTACGTTGTAAACATCAGTCGAACGGAGACAGAATTCTGCGGAACACACCAATCGCGTGAGCACTGGTTCTACACACCGGAACCGTACCCGAAGCACCAGACAGGTCCCGGTGGTCGGGGTCAGCCTTCACGAGGTATGATACAACAGCGCATGAGATCAGCATCCCAGTAACCCGCAGGCAGCTTCTGGAACGAAACTCTCTAAACATTTTCCTATGCAATCAAGCTAAACACGGATGTAAACGCAAATTCAGAATACCGTGCCATTGGTTTCCAAAGTGTCTCCCTACCCGCACCCACTGAGACACTCAACCCATCCAAGTAGCCTGGTGGTTAAGTCTCCTTCCGGGGCCTGTAGATTTTTATCTGGTGTCTTGTTTCTTTCCTGTTTCATGGCTCCTTTCCTTATTTTAGAGTCCTTATTTTCTGTTCTCGGTGAAGCACTCAGTCAAAATTCCCCTGAGCACAAAATATATCCGATTGCTTTTTATGTTCTTAAACAGAACTCTGCTTCTTCCTACAAACAGGGCAAATCCAGCTTTACTTGTGAAGTGAATGGTGCGCCCACCCGTCCAGCTGCCTCTCCGCTTGGAGAGCCCCCTGCCCCTCCTGGACCCTCCCGCCCTGGCTCTCCGGGCTGCGGTCCAGGCACGGCAGAACCCACAGTCCCTCTGGTGTGAAAAGTCACTTCTTGCTGGAAACCCGAGTTAACAAGCACGCTCCCCACTGGGTAGAAATATTGACCCCATTGAACGTTTGAGGTCACGTTTTTATCCACAGCCTAACCCCATCGTGTCTGTCCTCTCCAGTGACGGTGCTTTTGAACCCCCTGCCGCCCAGTGTCACGGGTGAAATGACAAGCCCTGCTCTGATCCGGGGTGTTCGGGATGGACCGCTTCTTGTAGATTCTGGGGTGTCCCGGGATGGACCACTTCCTGTAGACGGCCAGCGTTCCCCAACCCTACTGCCTCCTTTGAAGGGATCCGCCTCGATTTGGGTTTTTCTCTTGGATGCAAAATACCTTACTTGTTATCTTTATTGTCCTATCACTGCTAACAGAGCCAGAGAAGCCACAGAGTCTAGTGCTAGGAAACTAATCTCTTAGGTTAACAACGAGGATAGTAAGAGTTTACTCACCACTGCCATTCCATCTGATTACCATTATTTCTTCCCCTGGTCAATGATACTAAATCAAGACATTCTTCATCAGAACCTATGAAGGCTCAGTCGCCTGTCCAATGTGCCTGCACACACATTTCTATTGCTATCAATCAAGGCTACGTGGAATCATCGTTTAGCCACTCTGTTTCTCAGAGATTCCAGCTGTCCTCATCACCAACGGAAGTAGACTATTCGTCTCAGGGTGTTCATCCTGAATCTTGAGAATACTTGGTCCTCCCAAAGGTCCTACTAATGTGTTACCTCGCCCTCTCTTCAATCTCCAGCACCTACAAAAACAATGCCTCCATCGGAACGGCTTTGCTCACGTGGTTGCCCTCCTGTGCCCACTCCAGATGGGCTGCTTTAGACCAGAGCGGGGGGTGCTCAGCTCTGGCATCCAGTGTCGTCCTCACGGTCCTGTCGCAGACACCCACTGGCCTGTTCTAGATTCTGACGTGGTCTTTAATACCCCCTTCCAATTCCATTCTTTCCCCAGTCCTCCTTTTCCAAGTAAGCCAGGAACCTGACGTTGGCTTTTTCATCTGTCTACGTTCTCCGGCCTCACTGGGTACTGAGAAACACCACAGGCTGCACAAGCTGATTGGTCGATCACTTCTGCATGGATGGGCTATTTCCCGTTCAACCTTGCTCTTACCCTCCCTTAGCTTGAGGTCTGAGATCTTCCACGGCGGTTTCATGACCAGGCCTCTCTATCCACTGATCTGAAAGTAAGTCCTGTCGCTGGGTCCTTGCACCCTCTCCTATCCTTGACCCACAGACCCTAGTGGATGCTTTTCTCTGAGTGACTCAGAGTCAAGGAATGAGGGGTGACCACACCACTGACTGGCACTGTCGAAACCCAGGTGGACAGAGGTGACTGTGACGTGGTGCGTGTGTGACATTACATAGTCGTCACTTGTTAAATAATTTGGGGGCTCTGATTTATACCTCACTTTTAAACCCCATTATGTGTTCTTCAGAGTTCTTCATGATTTTGACCCATGAAAACTAACTAGCTTCTCCGTTACTTTTAGATGGTCCGGTAGTCTACGCGGCATACCTAAAAATGGAGCACAGTGATGAGAATATCAAATTCTGGATGGCCTGTGAAACCTATAAGAAAATTGCCTCACGACGGGGCAGAATTTCTCAGGCCAAGAAGCTGTGTAAGCTTTACATCCAGCCAGAGTCCCCTCGAGAGGTGAGTGCCCAGCGGTGGCGGCAAACGGAAACCAGGGCGCCCACGTCCGTCGGGGGCACACACACGTGCCGGGCACTTGACGCCAGTGTCTCCTGGAGCTCTGCAAAGTCGGTGCCGTTCACCTTGTTTCCCAGTAGAGACGCCACCAGAGACGTCGTTAGCTAGCTTGTCCAGTGGGACGCAGCGGTTAGTCGGGAAGGTCAGGGTTCAAAGTTAGGTCCACGTAGCTCCAAAGCCTCTCCTTGATGAGTGATTTTAATTCCCAGTAAAGTTATTTACAAAGGAGAATGGGCTTTGCTAGAAGGAACTACTGGTACCACAAATAGCAGAGCTGGGCAAAGGCTGTGCCTCCACACCAGCGCCCCCCACTCACCCGAGTCGAAAACCGGCAAAGCCAGCCAACGCTCACACTGATGTCAACGCCGATCATTTAAAAAGGCCTGGAGGAGACGGGGTTGTGAGTGAAGCAGATACACTGGGGCTCCTCCAGGTGCGGGGAGGAGGAGGAGCGTTGAGAGCATCGCTGCCCAGGGGAGCAAGCTAGCGGGCGGCACGTGAGATCCGGTCGCCTTGGAGAGGCCTGCCTAATTGACTGGTTCCTCAAAACTCATGCCTGGAAAATATTTGTTTTGCTGAAATGACCACTTCTCCGTTTCTCCACGTCTCTTCACCTTCTTCCCATTTTGGGGGCAAATTCAGTTAAGTCACCGCTGATGACTGTTAAGGAAGATGAAGTTTAAAATAGCACCGACTTCCCTTTTTTCCTTAGACAAGACCTCCATCCTGTAAACTTCCTTGTTTGTAGGCTCCGCTAGCAAACCGCTTGCAACCTCCTAAGTAAGCAATGGTTTCTGCAGGTTGCTGGGTCTCGGGCCTCTTGTTATTTTTATCCGGGATGTGGAGGTGGATGTTTACTTTCGAAGAAGCAGCGAGTTTATCTCCTGTGTCTTTTGAGGGGCCCATACAACTGGAAGCAAAATAACCCTGCTCCACTGAAAAGGGTGGCGGGGCTAAATTAAGCCTTTCCCTTATGCTGTTGCCTTCCATTCCGCCTACTGACGTGAGTTTACTTTTCAGATCAACATTGACAGTTCGACCAGGGAGGCCATCTTCAGGAATATCCGAGAACCCACGGAGACGTGCTTTGAAGAGGCCCAGAGAATAGTGTACACGCACATGGAGAGAGACTCGTACCCCAGGTTTTTAAAGTCGGAAATGTACCAGCAGCTTGTGAAGGCTGTGCAGTCCAACGCCAGTTCCTGACGACCACTCGGTGAGGTCGACCACTACAGTGAGGGCGGCCTATGGAAAGTGCGGCTTTCTCGTTCTAAGTTTTAAAAAAGAAAACTCACAAAATGAACAACAGAGTAGGAATAAGGTACAAGGAATCAAACCATAAACTGGGCTCTAGTTCCCAAAGAGAAACGGGCCCCAAAGGGATGGGCCCTGGGACTGTGGGCCCGGGCAGAACACCACCCGCGGCTCGCGGACGCAGCGCTCAGCTGACGCGCACGGGAGAGGAGGGTCTCCCCCGCCGGCCCCGGTGCTACAACCTGCCCCGCAGCGGGCAGCTGACGGAGGCTCCCCGCGCGTGAAATGCAGTGCCACAATGTGCGGGGCAGTCCTTTAGACGCTGTAGCTGTATGAGTTGTCTCTCTGGCATGAATGTCGCGTACAGAAATGCTCATAATAACATTCACTGGCAGACAAACTTAGTACCCACAGTGCAATCAATCATGTCATATCATGAGTGGTATCAACAAGATCGGTTCTTGAGAAATGTTTTGCCTGTAAAATTTTCCTACTATGATGTGCATAACTGAATTTCTGTGTTGCATTTATCTTCGACCTGTGAACAATTTCTGATGATTCTAAGCTATTAAAAGTGTATTAATTACTTCATTCAGTTCTATGCTTTTATCAGTAGAAGGGTAGAAAATTTGGTCCCTGTACTTGGAGATATTTTTTCCTTACAATGTGAATTCATTATGGTCCTAATAATCAATAAATCCAAATATAAATTAAAAGCTTACAAATGTGTTTTTTTAAGACACAATGAAGTTATCTTTCCAGTGAAAGGCTGTTTTCCATCCGTCCTGTCGCGGCGGCTCCTCAGACGTTGTCGGAGACTCCCCGGGAAAGAACTCACGTCCGTCTCGGGGAGCCCCGCACACAGCGGAGAACAGGGGCTCCGCACAGACGGACGGAGAGCCTGTGTTTGTAACGGGGAATACGATACCTGAAACATGTAATGCCATTTTTCAAAAAAATAATTAACTGTGGGAAAATCTGGTTCAAGATCTTTAGTCTTACTGCGAAGAGTGTTTCTTAGGTCTCAAATTTGACTGAAGTCACACTACCTCTGCAAAATGCCTCACAAAAGCGGTGGCCCATGAAGATACAGAGTCACCGGAATTCTTCTCCCGAAGCAGAGGATTGTTGTAACACTAAACAAATATTTGGGGGTTCATTTCTGAGAGAGAAAATTAATTGGACAAGAGAATGTTTGCTTTCAAAAAGCATGTGGTTGATTTATGGGGACTCTAGTTAGCTGCAGAAGGTGTTCCCACAGTAGCCCAAGCTTATCTAACTTGCTGAATTGTATTTCTTTTCTCTTAAAAATACCAGTATAAGAACGTGAGCTGAGGTCTCCGACACCTGAACTTAACGATGTTCCCTAGACGCGGTGAGCCAGAAAAACGAACACTCCCAGGTGTCTGACACAGCCCCCACGTGTCTGACACAGCCCCCCTCTCTCCACCAGCCCGTGAGCATGCTGATGGGCAAGCAGGAAAGGCCAGGTGGGCGTGGACGCAGTGCACGTGGTCCGCGCATTTTACGAACGTCCGGGGCCCTTCTCATTCAAATTGTACTGAACCGGCCCGACGCCGACAGAGCCAAAAGGGAACTGAGCGACTGACAGTAAGTGGTAGAAGGAGCAGCGCCCTTCACCGCTTACGTCTCCCCTCGTCTCTGTCGAGAGCACCGTTTTGCTTCCGTGCTGCTTGCCCCTCCCCAGCGCAGTCCCTCCGCCTGGCTCCCAGGGGACCTTCACCTGCTGTTGGGGACACAGGGGTCACGCGGTGACGGACACGAAGAGCCGGGGGCTGCGGGACAGCACCACCGGGTCAGCGCCCGCGCACTCGCCTGCTGCCCCTGTGCCTCTGGTCCCAGGGACCCTCGCTTTCCGAATCTGCGAAACGAGGGGGCGGGACGAGTCTGTCGTGGGAGCCGCGCGCAGTGTGTGTCTTAGGGCCTGCCCTCAGCCGGCATTTTCTCCAGCCTGGGTCCTTCTGAAGAGAAGCTCCCCCGGAACGGACGTCCTCATGGCAGAGTGCAGGGCGGGCTAGCAGTTTCGCCGTGAGCACTGGCCCAGGGAGCCCTGGGGTGCCTTCGCCGAGGGGCGGACGCTCGAAACTCAAAGGGCCGCTGTCCCAGGGTGCTGCCTGGAGGGGCGTGTTTCCCGTCGCTGGCAGTTAAACTGGTTTTCCATCATTTTAACTGAATGTTCTGAACCCTATTACTTCTTTGCCTTAGGGTATTTTTTTAATTAATAAATATCTTGTTGTGACAATTCAAACATTGATATAGTTATCAAATGGCTAGAAGGATGTGTCCACATTAACAGTTTTACGTACTTGTTTTATCCTCAGTACTTTGAGATTAATGCATCAAAAACATACTGTTGGATTTCTGATATCACAACCTGGATGTAGTCATGATTCTCCTGTTTTTCAGACAGACACCTCCAAACTCTGGAGATGGACGAGATAAGCTTTCATTGCCTCTGCGTAAAAACGGTCTTATCTTCCACAGGACACAGTGGCAGAGATTTGCACAATCCAGATTCCAGCATCTTGGCAGAGACAAACACTTTCCTATTTATAATCCGTCAGTCACACCAGCGTTTTATCAGCTGCCAAGGGCTTTCTATACTGATTCTGGAGGACAGTTATGGAGAAGACGGACACAAAGCTTTCTTCAAAAGCATAATGGGGTGTGATCTGAAGGGAATCATAAGATCCCACTGGCCAAAAATATCTCCCTCAACTCTCGGACCTGAATTTCCCATCACCGGCCACAGAAGATAAGACATCCAAACTCCAGGTTTCAGGGAGGGATGAAGCACTCGTGCTGACCCCTCCCTCCCCTGCTGCTGAGCAGAAAGCGAGGCTTGGGACGGCAGAAGGCAGGCTTGCAGGGAAACGGGCCGCGAGGACAGAGGTGTTTGGGTGGCTGGAGTCACCATACCGAATAGGATGCGGGGACTTGGGGGACAAACGCAAACGCATTTCTTATTACAATGTCCCCACGCTGTTAATGATAGAGAACCAAAGGGGAGGGTGGCCTAGTTTGAAAAGAAGGCACCCTAAGTTGCTAATTATACATTTTAGAAGGAAAAATGAATAGCATTCCTATAAAAACAAAACAGCAAGCATTCACTCCTCCACACAGTGTTCATAGAAGCACCCCTCTGACAAAAACCCACCCAGACCTTTTTGAGTGCAGACGCTCTAGTACAGGCGCTGGCTGGTTACGTCCTCTGCTCTCGGGGACATGCGAGCTGGCCAGCAAAGCCCAAAACCCTAGCAGCCCAGGCTGACCGGCGGATGCGGTGCCGGGGAACCCCAGCAGAAGTCTTGGCCTCTGCCCAGCAGCATCTGGAAAGAGCGGAAGGCATGAGGTTTAAGACACTTGTTGAAGAGGAATTAAGAGCTCATTCTGTAAAAAGGGGAGGGCAGTGTGGACAGGAACCGGGGCTAAAGAAGAAAAATATTGAGGTGATTAGGATGACTGAAGATGGTGGAGGCTCTGGAGTTGGATCTAAATTCTAATGTTGAGTCCAATACTTGGCAGCTTTGAGAATTTAAGAAATTGCTTAACCTCTCTGAACCTTGTGTTTTCTTCATCTGTAAGATAACAACAATAACATTGATGACATCTACCTCCTGGGCTGTTCTTACGAAGTCCCGGTACTGTGTCCAATAAACTGTAACCACACTACTAGCTGCCATAAGAGTCCAAACGAGGGATGGCACCCTCTCTGCCGCAGACAGATGAGGAAAGAAAGACGTTTCTGAGGGAGAAGGTGTGAGCTGACCGGACCGGGGAAAGGAAGGCGAGCAGAAGGCCAACCCGAAGGTTATACTTGGAGCATCTGCGTGAGTGCACGTGCCGCTGGCTGATGACCACAGCGGAGGACGGTGAGCGGACTAGAGCGGACTATGGGGCGAGTGCGTGTGAGGCACCTGCGCACCCCCCAGGGACACTCCAGAGAGAGGTGGAGGGCGGCAGGGTGCATCTGGGGACTGTTAGCATGGCACAGCCACGGACCAGAGGAGGTACTCAAAGGAGACTAGGCAGAACAGAGCATAGAAACCCAAAGGCCCAGTCAAACCTTAGGGCAAAACAATACCATGGTAGTGACTCACATTCTCATCAGAAGCCCATCATGACATTTACAGTAAGGATAAAGATATTTGTTGAGTTTCGCTCTATAGTGGATACTGTGCTAAGGGTCCAGATACATTATTCATTCACTCAACAGTTTATTGAGCGTCTACTCCATGCCAGCCTGGTTCTCAGAGACAGAGGCTCACCAGCAAGCCAAGTGGGAACCACGGCCACCCTCAAGGAGCTCGCATTGCCTTTACGTAATAAAATAGTAATCGAGTGAAAACACCACATCAGACTGTGATAAGAGCTATAAAAAAAGAAAACAAAACAATATGTTCCTCCCTCCTGGCCACCCGAATCAACAGTGAGGAATCCGAGACTCGAAAAAGTTAAGTAACTCTCAGCGGCTCTCAGCCAGAGCCACGACATTTCCAGCTGCGACCCTTCAATCAGTGCAAGTGCAGCCGCTTACACACACGCTGAATGGGAAGGAAATGGACAGAGATCTGATATATAGAAACACGCATTCAAGTGTGTAACGCCACTACCCGCACAGACCTTCTTAACATGAAAGGTCTCTGTGATGGCTATTTCCATTCACTGCTTCTCACCAACTCTGACAGGTTGGTTGAAAATGCCCAGATGCTTCGGCCTCTGCCAGAAGGAATTACCTGATGTAATGATGCCCAAGCTCCACTAATAAATGAAACATCTTCCCTTTGATTAGCAAATACGGTGTTTAAGCCAGGAATTTAAGCACATATTGGATAGTCAGTACATACAGGGTTGGGCAAAAACAGGTTTACAGTTGTTTGTATGGGAAAGACTATAACGATTAAGGAATAATAACACAAGGATGAACCCTGTGGGGTGTCCTCGCCACTGTAAACCCACTTTCACCTCACCCCGTACTCACAGAAGTGTGGTTAGAGGCTGTGGTCCTCAGCATGCCCCGGCCGTGCCCACGGTCCCGGCTCTGGGCCCTGGCCGTGGTCAGCCAGAACCAACCGGCTGCACCTCCAGTGTGAGACCTGGGGGAACACGCGTGGGGAAACAGTGAAAGTGTCATCAGAGGCACCGAAGTCACAGAAAGTGCTCCAAAAGCCTGGAATGGGTGGCCCGTGGATCTAGAGAAAATGAGGGAGGAGATCGCGAGAGCCTCTCGGCTCATTTTGACGAGCAGCGCGATCTCTTCCCAGGCGGCCCGAGGCCCCGTCAGCCAGGCGCACCGCCGCCCGGCCGCTCCCTGCAGACAGCGTGCGCACGACTCCGCTGAACAGCAGAGGCCAGGCACCCAGGGCTCCGACCACCGACCCGAGCACTGAGGCAGCGTGTTCATAAAGAAGACGTGACCAGTGGCATTTTCCTGCTTTAACAACTCATGGGCAGAGTCCCGGAGGAAGAACGATTTATTTTCAAAAATGAACAAAGCTTTCACAGTTCATGGAAACACGGATACGCATTACCGCACTTGAGCCGGGCAACAGCCCTCCTGCGATGTCCGATGAGCAGACGCCCCTGCTACCTGGTGAGCAGAGGCAGGGGGCGCTCAGCCCCAGCGAGCAGGGCGTCTGATGCCCCAGGGGCCAGCGGTCCGGCCACAGGAGG